CCATCGAAAAGCAGAAAGAGACACACAGGAACCCCACCACACCACCAGCGACGAGCCATCTCAGGAATGGCTCAAACCTAACAACGCCGCTACAGCACGGTAGCTGCAACAAGAACAGCCACTTCAAAGGAGCCCTCCCAAATGGCATCCAACGTAGATCATGAGACACTTCGTTTTCTGTTGGAAGCCCCCAAAATCAAAGGGGAGAAAGTCACAATCAAAGTTAGGAATGTGAAGGATAACACGGACGAGGAAGTGACCGCCTGAGCATACCCAAAAGACAAGATCGCGGACACCAATGCGACATATGAGAAGCATGGCCTCATCTTCTCCTTTTCCAACGTCGGGGCAAGACTATCCCCCATCGAGAAAAGGAAATGGTTGGTGAAAACCATCCAAGAACATGAGAACATCAAAACAGAGGTCGACAAGTTCTCCGTGCTTGGTCTGGGTAGGACCATGATGATCGTGGTCTTTAAAGATGCTGATCAAGCAACGCACATGCTGGAGAAATGCGAAACCCTGAACTGCAATGGATGTGTCTGCACCCTCTCACGATGGAAAGTGGAGACAGCCCAACGAGCTGAAGTCTCGCCGGCTGCCTCCTACAAACAGCGACTGATGAGGGAGCAATTCTGGGTGCAATTCGACAACATCCCACCCAGAGGCCATCCACTGATCAAAGATCGGTTGGAAGTCGAATACCCCGCAAACAAAGTGTTGAAATGGGTCCTCCCCACACCCGATTTTTTGGCACCCCATTGCGATTCCGTGACAGCAATCCTGGAGGTACTGACTGACGATCCCCCGGTGTTCCCCGAAGAGTGGCAATGCCTCATTGAAGACAAAGTCACGTCAGTAACAGTGTCTACCAAAGCCTCCCCAATTTGTTTCAGATGTAGAGAAAGAGGCCACCTGGGAACAGATCCCAAATGCCCACGCTCCCCTGAACAGAAAAAACTGAGACAGAATATGCTCGTCGAAGTCGAAGAGGCCAAAGGCATCTGGTTCGTCAATGACCCAGATTACGATGGCTGGGTCTTCGACGACAATATCCCAGAACCAAAGTGGATATGGACATACACGAACACGACCCCGACAATCAAACAGCCAGACATTTTCCCACCATCAGACGATAAATGGCCCCACGTGGGAGCAAAGAAGATATCAGGAATCCCAGGGAAATTTTACTCAGACCCGGTGGTGGATTCTCGCGCGATCAAAGAAGAAAAGAAATACGAAGACCTGCTGTGGGACCTCGAGTCAATCAGACAGCAGACCGCAGACGCCCTCGCCAAGCAGGAAGAGGACAGCGACATCCTGGACACAGCAAAACAGATCATTGAGGGACGCACCCTACAGACCGACCCTTCCCTCAAGAGACGGGCCTCCCCACAAAAGGAGAACATYGAGACCCCGAGCGGGAAAAAAGTAAGAAAGTACAGCCCAACGGGAAAGGGAACCCCCCCGGCTGACACACAGAGCTCACAGGAAACACCGATTGAATCACACCCCAGCCCAACGACAGATCAGGACGGTACCCACAGAGGAATGGACATATCCCCTTCCAAGGGCGACAGGGAAGGCAAACCGAAAGAACAGGGAGATTCCCCCATTGCTTGGCTGCAGGAATATTATCTGGAAAGAGCCAGAAACGAGAGGGAGAAAGAATTCGACATCAGAGTGGCATGCATGAAGCATTAGGAGAAGATAGGCCGAAGCAGCAAAGGCCCGGTAGCAGGCATCCACACATCCACAAACACCTATGACATACTGAGAGAACAGAGTGAGTTGTCAGAATTCAGCGCATTCAGGTATCACGAGAAGAAGAGGGAGAGAGACAACTCGAGCTCTGAGTCCGGATCCAGTGCAGAAACACAAGCCCACAAGGATCCAATCAGAGACATGGTACCAAAGAAGTGGAAACCATCAAAGGGCAGGACCAAGAGCTCCAGGAAAAGCACGACGGATACGGCAAGAAATGGCAACGAGCAGCGATCGCTCAAACAGGAGATCGCCATTGTTGCGGCTCAGACAAAGTGCCTGTTTGATCAGAACACGGAATACCGTAAAAGTCACAAAAGAGATTATTGCACCATCCAAAACGTGGCAGACAACAAGGCCCCCCATGTCACTGAGAAAGCTACCTCAGATCGCAAAACCATCAAACCAGTCAGACCTCTGGTCCCCATCCGTTACAGAAAGAAGTTCGGGGAGTGGCAGGTAGCCACAGATGTATCTTTCGCCTTCCCGACCGCGGGAGACCACCGGACACTGGCTAGAACAATCAGAGAAGGTGTATCCGAAGACTCCCCCTTAGGAGTCTTCGGGATCCCCGCCCCCCCGAGGAAAGACTCAGACAAGATCGACCAGGAACTCGCCACAGCCAGATCCTTTGAACCAATCCTCGTAAAACTGGAGGAAAAATCGAGGCAGCAAGAGGGGCTGGTGTGGAGGGCATGGAACACTGTGACCGCCTTGCCATACAGCACACTTGCAGTCAAGATGTGCCCGGCGGAAGTCATGGCCGATTCCTTGGCCGCCATCATCAGATCCCACATCCTCTCCACAGAGCACTCCTTGCAGGATGAAGCCGAGCCGCTGTACCTGGAGGTGGAAGACGAGGATAGAGACATGGGCGATTACGACGACGACGAAGGGCTGAGCAACAAGATATCCCGGGGCAGTGACGGGACTGGCACCACCCCAGTACCCAAGGGCAGCCTGGGGGGTTACAACCTAGGATCTGCTGCCGGGAGAAGGGCAAATGACGACAGTGGAGAAACCGGAGGACTCGGAGCTGACAGTGCAGGGACCACGGCAGCGGCTGATTAGAGTCCCCAACGCTCCCCCCCMCCCCCCAATTGAACCCCGCACGACAACCGCCACCCCAAGGAAAAAAGGAAAAAAGGGGGGTGCACACAGCAATCCGCCAGACACAATCTAATGGGGGACAATAACAATCACGCTGGGACGGTGAGGATGGACTGACAGGCAAAAGGATTGACGATCCACAACTGGAATGTGAACGGTTTGGGCAACATCCTCACCGAAGACGACAAACTACGCGACATCAGACTCGGCCTCACAGACAAAAGAAAGCCCAAACCCGACATCATTCTCCTACAAGAGACCCACCTGTCCAACCGCACTAACCACACAAGAATAAAGAGGACCGTGGAGAAAAGCCTAGGGGGATGTCCATTCACACTGTGGGCCAACAAAGCAGACCAAAGCAACCGCGGTACAACAATCCTTATACCGACTACCTCCAAAATCTGGACCGAGGGTCTGGTGAGCAACGGTGAAAGCGACACAGCAGAAGGCAGATGGTCATGGATCCAAATCACATGGTAATGGGAAGAGATCAGGATCCTAAACTTATACGCACCCAACGTGGAAGCCGGACGCCTAGCCTTTTTGGACCACATCAAATCTCTGTTCGCGCCCCCCCACCGCTAATTATAGTGGGTGACTGGAATACCACGCTGGACCCCAACCTGGATCGCATCTCCCGGACAGTGCTGCTGGGGCCCACAAGACCGACTACTCACCTACGTAACATCATGACGGAGTTCGACTTGGTCGACCCGTTCGGAATCCTCCACCCACGTAAGAAAGCCTTCTCCCTAGTCGAGAGGAACCGCTCCAACCACACATCACTATCACCAATCGACTTCTTCCTAATCTCCGACATGCTACAGGGGGCAGTCAAGGAAGCCGGTATCCTACCAGCAGCAGCCTTTAAGGGGCTAGACCATAAACCAACCTACTTGCTCCTCAACTTCAACCTTCCGGTAGAAAAAGGACAAGGCTTCTTCAGACTCAACAACTCACTCCTCTCCACAGAACGCATGAACGAGGCAGTTAGATGGAACTGGTGGTTCATACAGCAAGAGGAGAAGAAAYGCCAGGACAGGCACAAATGGTYCATAGACAGCTATATGGACCTARCGCAAACGGTCTCAGCAGAGTCTAGAAGCATAGCAGCAGAACGCAAACGAAGGAAGGAAGAACTACAAATCACACTCGACGTCGCAGAAACCAACCTAGCATCCGACCCCTCTAACTCCTTCTACCACAACTTACTCCAATCTACCAAGGCCGAACTAAACGAATGGAGAAGATGGGAACTGAGAGGCCTACAGATACGCACCCGAATGAATGACTATATCCTGAATGAATCCATGTCCAAATTCTTTTTCTCCAAGATCAAGGCTAACGCAAGAAACAACACAATCGAGGGGCTGAAGGACCCAGCAGACCAGGGCACGACGAAGTCATCCGGCGCAGACATGGTAAGAATAGCCAGATCCTTCTACGCTGACCTGTACGAGTCTAAAAACCCCTTCCCCCCTCCAACAGCTAATATCAACGCCCGACAGCACATGATGACCTACCTCGAGAGAACGATCACCCAGGAACAAACGGAGGACCTGGACAAACCAATCACTATAGGTGAATTACACACAGCCTTATCCCAGATGGGAAACGACAAAGCACCCGGAATCGATGGCCTGTCCAAAGAATTCTGGATCCAGTTCTGGCCAACATTAGGAATCGACCTCTTGAACTTCATCAATGATAGCAGGGAAAAAGGAGGGTTGGGTTATTTCCTAAGCACCAGCGTGGTGTCGCTAATATACAAAAAGGGTGACAAGGAGGACCTCAAGAACTACAGACCAATTTCAGTCCTCACTACGCCGTACAAAATCCTAGCCAAGGCATTAACCAACAGAATCATACAACTAACAGACAATTGCTTTCACATCGACCAAGCAGGATTCAATCCCGGGTCGATACATCCTAGATAATGTGATGGCTCTAAACGAGGCCGCCAAGAAAATCACAGAAAAACGAATGCAAGCAGCGATCTTATTCTTTGATTTTGAAAAGGCATACGACCAAGTCAACTGGGACTTCCTACATAGTTGCATGGAGAAGATGGGAGTCGGCCCAAATTTCAGAGAGTGGGTTAGAGTACTCTATGGGGACGCCACGGGCAGGGTGCAGATAAACAGAATACTGTCCGATACCTACCCAATATCGAGATCGGTCCGGCAAGGCGACCSCCTGGCACCCCCAATATTCCTATTCATAATGGAAGCCATAGCATCCTTCCTGCGCAAGGACCCATCCATAGACCGCCTGACTGACCAGAACCACAACCTCCTCCACGACTTTGCTCTCCCCACAGCACAAATGTTCGCAGACGATCTCACGGTCCTCATCCGTGCTAACAACTCCTCCTTCCAAGCCCTAGTGCGCGCCATGGAAGCCTTCAGACTTGCTTCAGAAATGAAGGTTAACTGGTTGAAAACGGAAGGATGGTGGCTTGCAGAGGGCACCCCCCCACAACCCCCAGACCCATCCACCCCAATGTCTTGGACCAGAGGTGACCAAGCAGTCCGATATTTAGGCATTATGGTAAGTAGGGATGGCATATGGCAAGGAATGGGTGAGACTCTACTGTCCAGAGCTATAACCCGGCTAGCCACCTGCAACAAAGCCCAGGCCTCCCTTCTAGGAAGAGCCCTGATCATCAACACAACAGTATTTTCCACTTTGTGGTACTTGGCCTCCATATGGTGCCCCCCCCGACGATGACCTGAAGAAGCTGAAGGCTAGAACCAAATGCTATCTGTGGACTGGCGACCCCAGCAGAACCTCCTGCATAAACAAGGTTGCATGGCAAACGGTCATCAGAAAACCTCAAGGAGGGCTAGGTATAATCGACCCCAAACAGGAAGCGATCGCCCTCCAAATGAAATGGATAATTAAAATCCTCACCAAACAGGCTGTCCCGTGGACCAAGATGGCCTTAGAAAGCATAAGGAGTTTGGCACCAGTAGCGACCCCACCGAACATGAGCGGCCTGTTCTGGATCATGGCAAAGGATTGGACAATTAAATCTGGGAGATCAGCAAGAAAATCTAACCCAACGACCCCCATTCAGCCCCCAACAACATCCACCCCCTACTGGGCACCGATCCTGAAGTCCTGGCGTTTTTTTATGCCAGAAAAGAAAGAACCCCCGAGCAACAAAGAGGAAGTTCTACGACAACCCCTGTTTTGCAACCCCTGGATCAAGGACACAGAGGGCAGATCGTGGACTCTCCGGCCCAAAGAACGGAGATGGCTGTCTTGGGTGAAGAGAGGGGTATGGCAGGTCAAACATCTCTGGTCCGAGGACCGACAGGAATGGCTCACTGCACAGGACCTTCGCACTACCTTAAAAGGCTGCCACCTACTAACCACCAACCTGGCAGAAATCCTCCAAAGCAYCCCCCCCCCATGGTCGACCCTCCTAAAGGAGACACATACATGGAAGCCAGGAGATTGGGGRCTACTCTACACACAGACGCCACCAACAAGAGCCTATCGCTACGTGTCAAAACCGAACTCAACCAACTACCAGGCCAACTTCGTCTCCTACCCCATCACCAAACACAACATACATGAATTAGAGGTCCTGAACAAAACGCCACAGCACGAACAAATAGAAACCTACCTCCTTAGGAAGGTAAGAGTATCCCAAAAGAAACCCTGGCTAATAGTCCAGCCGGAACTCAGCATCAAAGAGTTGGAATTCGACCCAAAGGAATGGATATGGGACCTAGACGCGGCCGGCAAACCAAGGACGATAACAGAATACGACGTCAAGTTCGGATATAGCCGCGGGCTACAAACTAGAGACCCRAACCCAAGGCTGGCGGAGAAGTGGAGAACCATACTGAACCTAGATGCGAMGGCCCCCATTTCCATCACATGGACCAAATACCTTCTCATCAGGCCAATCAGAATCCGGAGCCTGCAATGGCTAATAGCACATGCAGCCCTACCAGTCAACCAGTGGCTACATGTGAGAAAGAAGCATTCCGATCCTGACAGCTCAGAACGCTGTGCAATGTGCAACAGCGACTCACCTGAAGACATCCCCCACTGCCTCCTCTTCTGCCCAGAAGCAGCCTGGATATGGAAGAAGATCCGCGAGCTATGGTCGACTCTGTTCGCCGCACCACCCCCAAACGTCCCCACCACCTCTATCCTACTCCTAACTAACATCCCCAGCAACATCACAGGCAGCAGGGAAGTATGGTTCACCCTGCTCAGGAAGCTGGCGCTGTGGGGGATATGGAAACGCAGATGCACTCAGACAATCGAAGGAACAGCGGTGGCAAGGGAAGAGATGTGGGCACTACTGCTGAGCATGGCAGAGACGGAAATCAGGAGCAGATGGCGGAAATTAGTGAACTCAACGAGGCACAGGCCAGAAGGACAAGCAACCAAGAGAAGTACTTTCATAAGGAACTGGCTGCTAAAGGGCAGGGTGGCAACGATAAGTGAAAACAGACTTGAGATGGAAGAAGTGGCACCAGACACATTCATGAAAGATTACGAGGGTACCAGCTGGGAGATCCGACTGACGGAGCCATATGGTGATCAACAAAAGGAGGACTGGAAGCATAGAAAAAAAAAAAAAGAAAAAAAAAGGGTAGAACGATGTGGAAGAAATGGCGCAGCACAACTCCAACAAGGACGTTGACCCAGTGATGGGCAAACTGAGATTTTTCATCTCAAACAATATAGACAACTCTCCACTTCTCTTGCATTATTTGAATCAGCCGACAGAATCACAATAGATTCTGAGAGGAAAAGTGGTAGGGCAAGCTGACAGTCAATCCTCCGGATAAGGAGCAATCAATGCTGGTCAGGGTTCCTTCGGCCAGACGGAAGGAAGCGTGGGAGTGTTCACCGTGTATCTCAAATATTGACGTGCCGGTGGAAAGGAACCGGACTGACGCTCCCCAGAATGGATATGGAGCCAGGACCATAAGGACCTGTTTAAAAGTGAATCGTGATCTCAGAGGCTAACTCATTTTGCTTGTATGAATTGTCTTGCTTGATTGCCTTTGTGTTTAAAGGTACCTGTAATTACTGCACACATGCCTGTGGACTTCCACTGCAAGTACCCCCCAGGTTCATTTCCACATTTTGTTGGCTTTGCAGATCACATCATGTAAGTGTGCTTCTTCGATCAACATGATGTTCTGATCCTCGCATTGCATTCCACACACCTACTGTCAGTTGCATTATATATTTTGCGGATCCAATTGGTTTGACATTTTTTGTCTCTTTCAACAGCACTCAGGTGTGAATCTCCAGACTTCAACATCATCTCAGTGGGATTCGCGTGGGAGTCCAATTTGGGGTAAGCTTAGAAATGTGGCATCAGACGCCAGCCGGTCCAGAGAGCTTCAGGTGGAAGAATAACACTTTGTACTACAAGCTCAGAAGGCAGTTCACAGCACATGCCAGGTGTATTAAACATTGGTTCTTTACATGAAGAGGATATGAAGTATGGCGCCGACTTGCCAGGATGTGCAAGGGAAATTTGTTGGCAGTACTTGGCTCTGAACAGTCAAAAGGGACTTGCGCAATCATATAATGTAATCCGTTGCACACAATGTGAGGCTTTAATCTCAAGGAGGACACAATTCACAAAACAATCGATAGCTGGTCAACCGCCAAGTCTGAAGTCTGATAGACTAGCTCGACTTATCCAACATCGCCTTTCTGCCTCGTCCACTCAGCCAAAGGGACTGGTGCCCAAAAATGTTGCCACTACCACAGGAGCAGGCTCGAAGCTCTGCCGTGTTACAAGTTGCCATTCTAATATCAGTGCTGCAATTTCTACCTCTAATCTTTCTTGTTTTTTCAAAGATGCGCGGTAAAGGAGGCTCCAGGTCCCTTCTGTCCCAAGCACTGTCACTCTCTATCCTTCTCCACCAGCAATCCAAATTGAAGGAGGTGTCTCTGATCGTTGTATTGAAGTTGTTGATCGAGTACTAGTTGCTTCCGAACTGATGGCGGATGAGACATCCAATATAAGGAACAGAAAGGGAGCCAATCACGAGACGTTGTGGTTTGCTAAACGTGTGCCTGTTCATAGGTGAGATTGTCCCAGCCTCCTGCAGTGGAACTTTCTTACCTTGGACACCAGACTATGTCCTCGTAGTCTACATATGGTGAAAGATGCAGTCGCAGGGAAAGGACTTGACCTGTCACATAGTTTCCTCTGTAGAACTCTGTCGTCTTGGACTCGTGTCTTCATCATCCTCGTAAACATGTGCCTTTTCATAGGTGAGATTGTCCCAGTGTCCTGCAGTGAAACTTTGTTACCTTGGAGTCTACATATGGTGAAAAGCGTAGTTGCAGGGAAAGCACTTGACCTGTCACCTAGTTTTCCTCTGTCATCTTGGAGTCATGTCGTCCTCATCCTCATAGTGTGGGAAAAGCAGTTGAGGGGGGCATATGTCACCTAATGCATTGCTGTGAACACGACTGCTCAATTAGTCACTTGTCCCAAAAAGAGTGTGGAAGGGCGTCAGTCCACAGTGTGTAGTAGAACTTTGCCATCTTGGGCACATGTCTTCATCGTCTTTGTAGAGTGGAAGTCACAGATGAGGGGGAAGTAGCTGACCTTATGCAAAGACGTGAACACCTCTACTAAGCAAGTCGCTTATGCCAACAAGAGTGCAGAGGGACACCAGATGAAATTTTTGATATGCATGGACGTATGATGCATTGAATAGAGATCATGTGCAATAATGAAGACTTGAAGGGTATGGTATTCCATGCCTGACTAAGCGGGCTAGCTCAGTTGGTTGAGCACGTAAGTGCCACTCAGGATGTCATGGGTTCGATACCCAATGTCGTCCTTTCGATCCCCCCGGCCTCCTGGGGGTATGCTTCGGGTTCACCAGCAGAGACTGTTGGCTTGGGCCTCGTGGCTGGTTGTCAAAGTAATGGTTCTTTCCAGCCCGCGCCAGGTGTTAGGAACTTGGGCACTGCTCCCCGCACAGAGCAGCGACAGGTAGGCATAGACCCATAACCTTACGATAGCTTAGCTCTGGCTAGTGAATTTAAGTTTCGTCCTTCGTTGCAGAAGTAGGTTTGTCCTTTCTGATCGAGTGGTTGCCTGTCCAGGATAAATGAAGTTTCGGGTTTGTTTGGGGGCTGGATGGTCCGTTGCTTGCCCAGCGTAGGTAGTGTGAGATACAATAATGAAGAGAAGATAACAGCATAGTAAAAAAATGTGGCTGTCCCCCATACGAGGAGAAGATGAGCCTGCATTGAAAAAAAAAAAAAAAAAAAAAAAAAAGAAGACAGAGACCTGGTCAATGCCAGGTACACAGCATGTATAGACACTCCATATCCCTTGTTCTGAAATCAGTCTTGCAAATTCACACTCAAACATGCATGCAACAGATGAGAATAACTTGGCGCTGTGCACCCAACTCAAACTCGGAGATATGGTAGCTTGCAACTCAACTCAAATCCAAGTT